GCTTAAATGGAGTCATGAATTCAACCATTAAATTACTGCAATTTTTACAAACCTTCATTCTAACAATAAAACAGAACTGTTACTAAGCCCCAAGTTCTAGATGACTTCAAACGGTAGAATTAATCTGGTGAAAAATAACATATGAAAACTACTAGTGAGGACGTTAAACAAGTCAATGATAATTAATCTGAAGATAAGTGAATATAAAATAACCTAAACAGTAACGTTATTTCAATACACAAGTAGCAGCATAGTCCAAAGTTAGTCTAACATTTATAATAGTAATGTGGTGAAAACTGCAATACTATGAATAATAGTAATAAAGATAATAAGACATATTAAACCACTATGATAAGTCAAACCGATACAGTGGACTGATCACTAACTAGTGACTAAATTCATGCGTGACCAGTCCTTTTAATGTTAACTAAATTCTATCGATCTAGTTATAAAGTGACCACTAGTCTCAATGACTTGATATCACATACAATATATTGAGGTTAAGTGGTGTTGACTAGCTTCAATCAACTTACAAATTAAACGCATTTTGAGAATTCCAATTAATAGCGGTTGCTCAAAATATAAATAAGTTGCGTGGTCTCCCTGGTTCAATGTATCTCTACTAATTCAACTGATTCTATGAAAATAGGATGTGCTTCTAGGTGAAAGTAGTCAATTAGTTAGTACACAATGCCATTCGCGTTCAAAGAGAAATAAACAAATTCAGTTTGAAACTCTACATTCATCACATATGGTCGACAATGGCCATGATGTAACTAGGACCGAAGTATTCCCTATCGTTCACAGTATTCTATTACATTTTCCTAAGTTTTGTACTTGTCTATGGGACATAATGCAGATATATGCATATCCAATAAATAAATGTCATATCATGACAGGGAAAGCAAATAATTATATCAATTTTCCCTCTTTCTGCAACTATTATTTGCCACTAATATATATATATATATATATATATATATATATATATATATATATATATATATATATATATATATATATATATATATATATATATATATATATATATATATATATATATAATTCATCCTATTTTATTTCGTGACTTTTACTGATAAGCATTTTGATTTAATTCGAATAGGAAACTTTTTGTTTAGATCATTATGCCATCCTCAGTTCTTTTATCACTATCACCATCATAACTGTTGCATTTATTATCACAATACTCATTTTTATTTATTATTGGTTACATAACCTCGCTAGTGTTAGCATCGAAGAAAAAGCTACATTTCTTGGTTTGATCCTTCCCATTTATATATATACATGTCGAATTATTAAATTGGTTTGATATAACAGTTTTTTTCTTTATTGCTTAACTTTGGCCTAGTATTACGTAATTTTTGGTTATTTCAGTATTACCTAATAACGAACTTTACTCGAATTTATGGTAAAGAACGAATAGTTCTTATTCAAAGTTCAATATATCAAAGTACTATTAACAAATGTATTTACGTAAGTTCCTCACAAACGACACTATTTTCAACCTGAAATGAATTTGTATTTTCACATAAATTTTTCATACACATAATTTCCTTTATTATCTTATAAGCATACCAATATCTCCAATTATGGTGATTTTAAATATTATAATTTGTAAGCAGCTGATGAGGACTTAACGAGATAAAATGAAGTCATATTATTCTACACCAGTCTTTGTTCTAGCTGTCTTTAACAAATTTTTATTAACTCTAAGTTTATTAAATATCGCTGTAATTAGAAATAGAATTTTTCCAAAGTCCTAATGTTAAATAATTGAACAGAACACAAAGGATGCCATAAATATATTATTTTATACATTTTTCAATATTATTTAAACAATCTAAATAAAAACACTTAAGCAAATTACACGATTTACTAGAAGTCTTCGATGGTCGTACAGCCAACTGATTCTGGGATTTATATTAGGATATATCCTGGTGTGAAACATGATGAGGTTATATTTGATGCCTAAAGAATGAAGTGACATCAAGTAACCTATACATGTTTGATTTGTTATAATATATTACTATCCTTAAAACCAAATATTTCAATGAGATAAAATCACATTAACGAAGGGTTAAAAGTTATCTGTAAAATGTGAACTACTAATATGGTATATCATCTCCCAAGCTACTGGATTAAATTCGAGACATTTAGCCAAAAAAACTTGTGAGTGTACTGGCGAAAGATTAATACTATCAGTTATTTATGTAATAAAGGCTTTTTTGAAATTGAAACATGCTGTGAAGATCTTAAGTATGGCAATGTGTCACACACAAACATTTACACAGTAAATATAATGTTTACTGTGGCAGAATAACAGGCGTGATCAAAATGTGAGTCAAACACGTTTTATCAGCTCAAGTATCTAGTCACTCATTCATCTACCCATTATTCATTATCGTATGTTGGAAAAAAAGGTATCAATCGTCTAAATATTTTATCTTGATGCTAAAGAGACAGGATGATATTGAAAAATATTTTGCTAAACGTCGAAATATTATTTCAAACTGAAATTGTGGTGCTTTATGGCTCAGGTGAATGCTTCCAGTGGTGTCACTTTTTCATGTTAAACAGAAAGACAATAAAATTTCCCCAGTTGAACAATCCTGCTCAGAGAATGCAACGTACTAAAATTATTTCTCATTAATATGTGTATACAGCTAATGAGAAATCTATGATTTAAAAAATATGTACATGGAATAAAAACTCCACAGGCTGAGCCTATTGTTGTTATTCAGTGAACTGAGATTTATCGTTGAAAATCTAAGCTTACAATTTCAAAGATAAGAGAGGTCTAATAAAGTACTAAATCTGATGAATGATAATAGATCTACTTATAAACAAATCAGAACAATTCACGGCATATAAAATTAGCCCTACGATATCTATATATATATCACAGAAGATGTTCAATAAATTTTGCATTCCCCTCTATCTAATTCATTCGAATTAGACTATGTCAATCAACAATCCTGTACCATACTTTGAATTAGTATACTATGAAATCAAATATTCCCAATCAGTAAATTCTTGCTAATAGAAATGAAATTAATATAATTCTCAATATTTTGGAAAATTACTAATCTTCATAAATGAATTGAAAATCAAATGCACAGATCCATTAATCATTGTATCATATCAGTGTTTTAATGGAGTGAACAACAACAGAAAGAAAAAAAAAGAGTATGAATAAATGGGCAAAATTATACATGGAAAAAAAAAGATAATTTTTAAAAGAAATAAAATTTTTTGGGGTATTTTTTTGAGGGAAAAAAAATTTATTATCCACATTGGTGGTCATGATCACTTTATTGTATTGTATTATGTAACATTAATCTTTTCTTTTCTTTTTTTCCCATTTTTTTTCTCTGTTTTATTTTAAAATAAGGGGAAAACTTTTAAAATTTTATTTTTATTTTTACACGATTTTAAAATGAAAAAAAAAAAAAGATTATGTTAATGTACTTACTTATTAAAATGTGTATAAAATTGATGACATTTATACGTGTATACATACTTATATTATAATATACATGTGATTCAGTAGTATATAAATTTATTCATTGTTAGCTTGAATTTTTCTTTTGCTCTTTTTCTAATAATATAACAATGATTATTGTATGGCATGCAAAATTCATTTTTATATATAATTTATGTTGTATTCTAGTTTAGTTTCTAGTTTAAAAAGCAAACTAAATTTTCATGATTTATTACTGTAATTTATTCTAGATATTTAAAATGATTTGTAACAAGTTATGATTATATTTTTTATTTGGGAAATAGGATAAGGTGGTCTATTCAATTCTTTTACTTCCTCATATATGATAATCAGTATCTTGCGAATATCGATAGAATGGTAAATTATGTACTGTATAATGTTGAACACTGACTCTGGGCATAGAATACTAAACAAAATGTTGTTAATCTATGACAATTGAAGTTAGAAAGTAATGTGAATTACATATATATGACTATAGCTTCTTGGTTGATGTTGATGAGTTTGTTTTAATCAATAGTTGGAAGTGTCTGTAATTAATATCATTTCTTAAACTAAAATAGTCATATATAAATGATCAGTGTTTATTCAATCTAGGAATGTTTGACATGACATGATCCGATTTGTTTAGTAAATGAAATACACCCATTATAACATTAAATAAGAAAGAGTAGTTCAGTGAAGAATTCTCTTTTCGGCGAATTCATTTTCAAACCTGTACAATCTCAAATATATATACTTATTTTACAGGATGATAATAATTATAATAATATTGATAATAAACTCCTTCTAGACATGGTGACAGTGAGGTTAAATAAACAGAGGTATAAGAAATTTTTTAAAAATAAAATAATAAAAGTTTAATAATCCTTTTATTGTTAATTGCTTAAGTATTCATCAAAAGATAGCTATGGAAATTATCATTGGGAAAGGATGGCTCAGCATGATAAGATAAAATGTTGAAATTGAGATTAAATGTAATCAGGATGATCATAGAAACAGAAATAAACAGTCGGGGGTAGAAGATTTAAGGGAAAGATGGAAGGTGAATGAGATGGCTGTAAAGGAAGTAGAGTATGAAGAAAGGAAGTAAAAAATAAGAAAAATTATTTTACCTCAATGTCACCATGTCTAGAAGGAGTTTATTATCAATATTATTATAATTATTATCATCTTGTAAAATAAGTATATATATTTGAGATTGTACAGGTTTGAAAATAAATTCGGCGAAAAGAGAACTATTCGTCGAATTAATCTTCCTTGTTTAAGATCTAAATTGTCAGTTTAAGTAATATATATAGTCCTAGTGGAAAGAAAATTCCAACCTAGTTGGTTGATTTATCATCTTGAAGTACTTATTATGAATTATATGCCATATCATGTTTTCTGAAAAATCCAATCACTATTTCATATGAAAAAATGCACTGAATTACTAGTATAAGCACAAGAAATAAATTTTGTTATTTGAGTTTATTCTTACCTTTATTACATGGTGCATCAGGTAAACGTGTCTGTTTATAACCCTCTTGGCAACGATTACATGCTTGTCCAACAACTCCTGGTTTACATGGACATTGACCAGTTTTACGATCACAATGTTGGTTAGCGATCGATCCAATCGGATGGCATCGACATTCTAAAATGAATAAACTTATCACGATTTAATCTTTATTGAATGGTCAATTTATAAAAAAGCGTAATCAAATAAACATGCAGAGTGTTGATTCAATGTAAGAACATTTTAAATCCGTTTCCGCTGCGAAAAATGATGCCATTTACCTTCAAATTGTTGATGGACAAAATCATGGATTCTATGTAAGTCATTATTCTATACAGGGCCTTCAACATAAACGTATAAAACAATTACTGTATATGCAACGTAAACTTTTTGTTACTATCTCGTATTTACGATGTGAAACGATTTAATCCTTAGAATTTTTGTGTTTGTTTTAGTTTACAGATATCCAGATTAGTATTATTGTGGTTAGCTGTAAAATGTTCAATGTGAATAACTTGATGAATTGTCGCCACAATAAGAAAGTTATTAAAGTTTACAACACTGAACATCAGACAATGTATTTTAAAGCAGACTTCATCATATCACGTTTACGATTATCCACAATGTTATGATATTAGCTCGAACTACATTTAACTGAACAACTATAGTTCTCAATAATATTCATAATCTTGTTCGAAGACCGTTTCGTTTTTTCCTAAACTTCAATCATTTGTGCTCAGCAACTGAAACAGAAGTCTGAATTAGGTGATGATTCCAAGGTTAGTTGTGTTGTCGAACCGATACCCGACACACATCAGTCTTTAAAGATATGACTGGTAAATGCAAACTCAACTCCCTTCAGCTACCGAGAGATAAAACGGCAATAATACTGTGCAAACCCTATCAACTTATGGAATTAAATAACCCATCTCTATTCCAATTTACCAGATCATTTGAGACTGATTGACGCAACTTTAGTTCCCGTTGTTCCCTTCTCAATCTAATATTAAATTATGTGAGCAATTTAGTACTACTTATAGGACTCCTTGGTAACTTTAAGTATTGAAACTTTGTTTTTTGATAATAATACTCATAGGATTAATAAGAACGTGAATGAAGTATCTGGCAGCTAGTTTTTTGTGCTGATAATGCATAGCTCGTTAGGAAGTACAGCGATGTACATCTCATTATAGAATATCTACCTGCTGGCGAAACTCTTACCCAAACAGACTTGATCATGGCTAACAGGCTTTGTCCAATCTCTATAGTAACCTGTTACACAATTATGACATCTTCTCCCGACCGTATTATGTTGACAATCTTGACATACACCACCGCTTACTTTCATTGACATTAAATATAACTGGTTTGAAAAAACGCATGAATTCGAGTGCAGATTACAATCACATCCTAATGTATCATTCACCGAAATCACACATGAAAACATCCAAGGATTCATGCACATATCCATTGGGAATGCAAATTTTAAGAATTTATGCAACATTTTAGAAAAATAGGTGTTAACATGCAAATATATATGATACCCACAGTTACCACAACAATATTGAGTTTGGAAGCGTTTGTTATAGTTAGAGCCGTACCGTATATGTATATATATACATAGAGCGAATAGCGAATCCCCGCCATGTTATATGTTTAGTTAATATACAAATAAATAAATAAATAAATAAATAAATAAATATAATAACAATGAATTAGACACAGACAACAATAAGAATAATTGTATAAATACAACAAAATCTGAGACAAAATTCGACTTTTTCCATTCAAGTTTTCATTTGTCCATTAATATTATATGACATCATGAGAATTAATAGTCGAGCTGTTATCAACTGCCTACCTCGACATGCATGCTCATTTCCAATGGTTAGATTAGGATCACGGTAATATCCAGTTATGCACTGATCACAGTTTGAACCTTCTGTATTATGTTGACATGCCAAGCATATACCACCGGTTATACCACCGGAACGCTTGAAAGCTTTTACGCTGAAGATACATTGATTAGTATGATTACCGCATTGACAAGCTGTTTTAAAAGAGGAGGCGAATGAATTAACCAACTGAATTATGGATCGTTTGTTATCACTATTATATTGTTATTATTAGTAGTAGTATACAGGATTTTTAAAAAGTATTATACTGTCTAATATATTCTGCTTGTGTCTAAATAAAAAAATAATAATAATTTCTTTTTTGATTACCTCATCTGAGTAGACCAATCCAAACTCAGAAATAATTCAACAAACCAAGTTATCTAGATCTTCAAATATTTTATACATGGAATTGAATGATGTTTACTTCTGCTGATTTCTAAGAATTGTGAACTCATCTTGAACAAATTTGGCGAATTTCTGTAAATAAATCGACTACTTTACAACTTAAAACACCATCAAAATCGCTAAGCTCTATTGGTCAGATCATATAGCTTGCTATAGAAACTGAAGGCCCTGGATTCAGACTGTAATGAGATTTTAGAACCCGACTCCCTAAAATGTGTAACGCTACAAAGAAGATTCTATTCATTACGCCTTGGTAATCAGTTTTAACTCAATTGTGATGAATCTGTGGTGAGTACCACAAACAAAATAATAAATATAATTTATCCAGATGACTTTGAGATTGTGTACAATTTTAAAAAATACGCTTCAATCATAAAGTACAACTATCATGTGAAAATCTCCACCTACCAATACTACTTTGACTAAACATTAGGGACTCCATAGATTATTGTAGGAAGAAAAAATTAGAATCCCCTAGTCGATCCGTTAATTATTTTCTTACCAATATCAAACACTTATTCATATGCATAACATTTATAGATATCTACAAAGAAATTCTTAAAGTTAACCATTAAGACTTCATAGAAGCTTAGAAATTCATAAAATAAAAGTCAGAATTTCTCTCAAACACTTATCTTCTCATTTAAATCTGATATATTATCCTTCTCTTAAATTATTTTCTTTTTTTTCACCCACCCTCCTATGTATTTAGATTTTTTTTTATTTTTCAATATTCTCAATAAAGTAGATAATGGTTTTTTTATTTTGTTATATCGAGTAATATGATTTCACCAATATCCCACCGCACATTAGTTTCCATGTTTTTTAACCCTTAAATTCACATATTTATATCACTTTTAAAAAAAAAGAAATTAAAATGAAATCGTTTATCTCTTTCTTTTGTTTAAACGTATTTAAATGTTCAATTGATCACATTATTATTTTACCATTTTGTTTTAAATTATAATTTTTCTTTTTAAATAGTGAGTACGATTCAATAAATTCTTGATCATTATAATTTGTTTAATCGTTTTTTGTTGTTGTTGTTGTTAGGTCCATTTAAACAAGATTATTTCTTTATAAGAGGATAGAAATAATCAGCAACAAAAAAAATGAATATAGGATAGATTTTTACCTTTGATATAGATAGAGAGATATAATGCATACTCTAATATGAATTGGCATTGAAACGCAATAAATTGAATGAATAATAAAATATCAGATTTAATGAATCTAATGGATACTTTTAATCTGAAACTGTTATTATGATTTTAGATATTATCAGAATTATCTTCAAAAGCCTTTCAAAAACAGATTGAGGTTTAGGAATCGATTTACTTTTAAACATTTCAAATAATGTAAAAATAGAGATAACTAATGAGATGATTAAGAGAAAAAGATTAACAAAATAATGGATTCAACTAAAGAGAGAAGAAATCAGTTTGATATATAATTGTTCAATCAGTATAACATATGAAAATTAAATGTATATAATCACATAAGAATGTCAAACGCCAGTTCTAGAAATTTTAAGAGCCCTAAATAAGTAGTAAACAATTTGTTACATAACTCATATAAACATTCAGTAATTTGGTGAATAAAATTATACCTTGAAATGATCACTTGAAGGTTTTCTATCTATATTACTTTCACTCTACTCACAAGTAAGAGTTGTCAGTGAATTAAAAGAGGTGAAAACTCAATTAATTTTGGTTCAAGTTTACAGTCATTCTGAGTAAGTCATTCTCTGAGCTCAGAGAACGAAACTACCAAAATTCATATATATCGCTTGTAACGATTTATTCAATTTGAAAATAATTTCTGTTACAAACCAATATCAGCTGAAGTACTATTAAAGACTAAGAAATACTAGGTAGTCGTGTTTTTTTAATGTACATACCCCCCAACTCTACTCAGTCAAAGAAAGAATGTTAAAGTTTCGTATTGAGCACGATATTAATGGACTTTTTCATAGAAACCAAACGAATCACAAGTTCTAAATCCATTCTGCCGATGCATCTTACTGATAAACAGATGGCTTGGATGACCTATATTACAAAACAATTGTTTATTAATCGAAGATATAGGATGATGGTTGCAGTGTGCAGCGAATCGACTGAAATCTAAATTTTGGATCACTTATACTACCCCATTCATATAGTTCTGATTGTAACAACAGAATGTTCTATTCTCACCTTTGTGAGTTTGTTATTATACAGTAGAGATGAGTCACAAATAAGACTTCTGGAACTTATATCAGTTGTTGATGGAAACTCTCTCCACATATTTCAATAATATATGATTATTGGTCATCATTGTTAGTCCACTTTCTTACTACAGCTTAACTTGTACCGAATGTAACAATTTCGTTAAAGTGGTTAGGATACACATAAGCTCATTTTAATTATTTAAACATTAGTTTAATGATTAATCGCTGATATGTTATTAAATCATTTCATATATGAGTTTCGACTACCACTGATGCGACTATTACTACTGCATCTATTCTTCCTCCTACGATTACTGTTAGCAAGAACAATAACATTCATAATAATAATAGTGACAATAACAGTGACGTAGTTTGAAAACTGTTCAATCTTTTGCACAGTAAATGATTACTTAGACAGACAGAATCTTCTGATGATGTATTTATTAGTTCCTAATCTACAATTAATTATGTGTTACTTCATTCAAAATATTCTTTAGAATGAGTTAATATCATTGTGACTAGAAAAATATTTTTTTCATTACGCATAGTATATGTATAAGACTGAAGGAAATTAAAATGGTTGAAAATACAAATCTCATAAATTACACAAACATAATATTGGCCTAAATTCCTGTTTAAGTGTGGTGTAAAATGGTCAAGATTACAAACCGTCTGAATACATATGTCCTTTAATAAAATATACTAATTTAAGGTATTATCGGTTTGGAATAAAATATGATGACAATCCAGACTAATGGTAGGAATAACTGTCATTTTCACATACAGAGAAACCTAAACACCTATCCACACACAAGTGTATGTACAACCGTATACTTATGTGCATAGTAACCAAACACATTCATCGATTAGCCATCTAGCTCACCACGATTATGATGTTGACCACCTACTAATGCTGTTATTATGCTAAACTAAAAACACAACGATACGACCTACTTTCAACTTAATTTAATGTTTGCTAGTGTTAAAGTAAGTATAGGTAATGTATACCTCTCTTCCTTCCCCTCTTATAATTATTCTTGAGAGATTGTTTTCATGTTTAAATAAAATAAGTAATTTATTGCTATATGGTTAGTTTACAAGTTTTACGTATGGTGCATACAGTTCGACAGGGCAACACTCTTTGCAAAAGTAGGCAGAAAACAATACTATTACTACAATACTAGGAACGATATATATATATATATATATATATATATATATATATATATATATATATATATATATATATATATATATATATATATATATATATATATATATATAAGACTGACAAATTGGTGATGAATACTAACAACTGCCGTTTTAAAAAGCAAGAAGAATTGGCGAGAGAATAAAAGAATAAAGAACACTAAACTTATTAAGTTATTTTTCTAGCCCTTTTTAACAATCTAAGCAATTATAAGGCTAGAAATCTTAATCATAATAACTAGAGTGAATGCATATGAAAACTACGCCTGAAGGGGACTTTTCACCATGATTATCATATCAGTCAAGAAAATCATTAGGGTCATGAACCGACAAATGTTAGACATCCATTAAAAACCTAGAAGCACTGGATGGCCGTTTCTTTCTTGTATAGGACAACAGAGAAGTGCTCATTCACGATCTCTTATGCGGGACTCCAGCACAATGAGAGGCCATGACAAGTAGAGCCATTCTATGCCGAATGTGAGGCAGTTACCTACCGAAAACAATTGAAGATGGTCTTACAATTGATTGATCACTGGGTGGTGATCAATGTCTTGCTTGTCTAATCCTTATTAGTGCACATCGAATGATATCGATCATGTTGCAATGTGGCCACCAGTCTAGGTGACTCGACACTGCGGGCACTATGTATTGAGATTTAGATGGTGGTTGGAGGTAGTCAACAGGAAACCCTGGACCCGGGTTTCGTGCTACTTGGCACTCGTCAGCAAGGTGCACCTGTAATCTTGAGGGAACTGGTGCTTCCTGGCGGATTCGATCTCATGTCACCCAGCTTCACAGTCAGAGACGTTACCACTGAGCTATCCGAGCCGTGACTAACCTCCTGTAGAACTGAGATGTAATTACAACTGATTGATCACTGAGTGGTGATCAATGTCTTGCTTGTCTAGTCCTTATTAGTGCACATCGAATGCTATCGATCATGTTGCAATGTGGCCACCAGTCTAGGTGACTCGACACTGGTCTTGAAATATCGTGTATTGATTGGAGTTAGACATTAACACCACTGTATGCATGCTCAGTGGTCTAGATTTTAAGCGTTCGCGCTTGGGCCCGAGTGTCCTTGGTCCGAGTTCCGCATGTAGAATCGTGGATGCGCACCTTTAAGGGGTTCCATACTAGGATGAAATGGCAGTCCAAAGCTTCCAGGTTTTCAATGGTGGTCTAACACTGGTCGGTTTATGATCTCAATGATACTGAACAATCTCCACAACTATATACTGTTAGTCGAGAAAGTAATTTTCAATAATTTTGTTCGATAATTATTCCCTATATTTCAATGATTGACACTTAAATGAATGTGTAATT